TCTGCTCTCTTCTATTCAATATTTGTGGTTACTCATATATCGTAATGGTACCATTGCCTCTCACACACATGTACACAACTTGTTCAGCCCCACATAATTTGCAGTCCCTTGCAGCACTAGGTCTGCTTTTTCTTGGCTTACTAAAGCACATATGTAACCAGAACTCTAAAGTGAAGTTGGCTTTTGAGCAGTTGGTTGCCTGTGACCTATTAATGGTTGGTTGCCGGGCAAGGCTCCACACTCCGAAATATAGTCTCAACTTTCCACTAATAAGTCTCAAAGACCACGATTAAAAATTAGGTCATTTGGTGATCTGGTATTTTTAATAATTCACTTTCCTTTGTTAAAATACAGAAACACATTTCTAACATCTAACGTCTTCATAGATAATAAAAACTTGCTCAGAGGAAGTCTTAGTAAAATGACATGGAAAGCTACCTCTGGTATTCATTTGAACCAGGTTTTCCATGGATAAACAACCAAAGATATAATGTTGCTGGAAAATACTCTTGAACCCATATCATGAGTAAAATTTAGTGAGGCTTCAGTTTCAGATAAACATAAATAAAGACAAATAAACATTAATAAATAAAGATAATAAAATAAACATATATAAATATAATAAAACAAACACAATAAATTAAACATAAATAAAGATAATAACTTCCCATGAGATCTTCATATGGAATTGTTTCTAACCTCTAGATTTCTGGAAATCAGGCTAAATTCAGACTATCAGTTTCGTTTTTTCTCTTCTTTTTTCCTCTTCCCAAAAAAGTAAGAAAAATTAAGGAAGAATAGGCTCCTGAAGCAAGAAAAAATTTGCTAAAGGAGGCCGGCATTTTCCTTGGAGTAAATATCACATTCAAAATTGGAGACTGTTCCAGTGTCTGTTACAATATGGATTTTTTTCCTGAGAAAGGAAAATCTCAAAAAATAGTGGTATGCTCTGAAAAAAATGCTTCCTTCATCTTTTGCCTCCATCACTCCTAAATCAAGGAGTATTTATATTTATTACAGCACAGCTGACTAGGGGTTTTTCTATGTTTGAAAGCCTTTTCAATCATCCCAGGCAACTTTTCCTGCTAGAAAATAACGTTATCTAAACAAAGGGAAAGTATCATCAGCTCTCCCAGGAGGAAGCCAGAGAAATCTTAAGGGAGCTGCTCTATTCAGAAGCATTTCAAGGCTACAGGCTGGGATATACAGATGCAAATGCAGTAATATGTGGCCACTGAGGGAATGAGCCACAGGAAAAGTACACACTTCAGGAGGGTAGTATTGACCTTAAGTTCATTTCACTTAAGCAAATATGTCCTTAATATTTTAGTTGATTCCCCTCATTTGTGCTTATAGAGCACACTGTACATTGCCTATGACCACATGTATTGTGGCAATTATTCTCCCTCACTAGACCATGGCCCAAGAAGACAGTAATCATGTGCCTTTTTCCATAGTCTATATCCCCAGTACGAAGCATCGTGCCTGGCAAATGGTAGTTGGTAAATAAGTATTTGCTGAATAAATACTAGATGAACCCACACATTCCAAACATGGTTCTAGGTGCCCCAGGGGATATAGAGGTGTATGAGACCCAGGCCTTGACTTCAAGGAGTTTCTGGCCTAGCCGTGGTGGGGTGGGGTAAGCAGGGGAGCAGGGGCATAAATAAGACACAGACACAAATTACTAACCAAAAGCAGAGGAAGTTAGGTGTTTTAAGAGAGGTATAAATGGAGTTTTAAAAAAGGAGCTATCATAACAGTGTTGAGTTAACCACAAAAGTTTTCATGAAGAACAGGAAATTTGAGAAAGGCCTTTACAAATAGGTAGGACTGATATATAAAGAGAAGATACTCCAGGCTGAGGTAGCAGAATAGCAAACACTGTTTATGAAAAAACAAAAAAGCTCAGTTTGAACAGCAAGGAGCTGAGTTTTGCAAGAGTGCTGGGCATGTTTGGGGAGTAGTGGGAAAAAAATGCTCTAAAGGTAGATGCACTGTATTTAAGGAAGCCACTGACTGCCAGACTATGTACTTTGTGACTTGTTGGGCAATAGGGAGCCATTAATGCTCTTTAGAGACCTCATCCTAGAAAAAAAAAATACCTGACAACATTATGTAGAATAGAGTAGGAAAAGATAAGGGATAGGGAGACAGATTAAGTAATAAGGGCCTGAACTAGGGTAGAAACAATGCAAATTTTAAAAGTGAGATGATTATCAGAAATAATGCAGTTGCAGCAAATAGTAATAATATCAGTTATAATAACTGTTTATCGAGCACTTATTATGTACCAGACACTATGCTAAATGGATTACATACAGCAGCTCAATTAGTTCTCACACTGACTCTATAAGTTAGGTACCACGATTATTCTCATTTTACTAGTGAGAAAATTAAGGATCAGAGAGGTTTAGTGATATATCCAAAGTCACACAGCCATTAATTGAAAGAGAAAGAATTTAAACCCAGGTCATTCTGATTCCTAAACATACATTAGTTCCCCCATAGTATGCTATCTTTCCCTTAGGCACTTGTTTGTATGTGGACATTAAGGGGCAAAGAGTCAAAGTCTCCAAAACTTTGAGACAACGTGGGAAAATATTGGTGAACTTAATAGCGAATAAGGAAGTCTGGAGCAGAATCTGTTTTGAGGTCTTGAGAGATGATTTTTGTTTGAGATGTTGATTTTTACAGTCAAATAATTTATTTTTAATTATTTTATTGAGATCATATTGGCGTATGACATTGTGTAAATTTCAGGTGTACATCACTATATTTCAGTTTCTGTATAGACTGCATCGTGTTCACTACCAACAGTACAGGTTTTATCCATCACCATACATATGTTACCGCAATTATTTCATTCAAGAAATACTGAGCACTTACTTTGTGTCTTGTACAGCCCTTGGTTCGAGTATACAACAAGTAAACAAAATACACAAGAATCCTTGTCCTCATGGACTTTACATTCTAGTAGAGAAGATATATAAAAACAAAATAAATACCTAAAAAACATAAAGTATATTAGTTATGATTGATAGTGGATAAAATAAATACTGAAGGGAGATGGAGAGTATAGGAGGAGAGCTACAGTTTTAAATAGGAAGATCAGGGAAAGCCTCATGAAAAGGTGACATTTCGGTAAAGATCTGGAGGAAGTAAGGAAGTGAAACAAGTAAATAACTGGGCTAAAGCATTCTAGGCACAGCTAACTGCCAATTCAAAGGCTTCGATGCAGGAGCGGACGTGGTTTGTTCACTTAACAGCAAGAATGGCAAAGTGGCTCGAGCAGAATGCAAGGGGAGAGTCTTAGGAGGTAAGCTCAGAAGTAACTGGAGGCCAGATCACACAGTATGATGTAAGCCATTGCAAGGACTTTGATTTTACCTCTGAGATGAAGAGTCATTAGGAGATTTTTATCAGAAATAACATGATTTGACAAGATGTGACATATTTTAATAAAATATAAAAGATGATTTCAGTTTCATATGCCACATTTTGAGGTGATGATGAATCATTCAAGAGAAGTAGTCTTATATATAGTTGGAAAGAGAGCTACAGCTCAGATGAGATACAGATTTAAGAGTCATTGGCTGTGACAGGAGAGGTGAAGGTTCAGTAGAGGTTGATTGGATGTATATTTCTAAAATTCTTTCTAATCAGTGACATTAGCAGGCGATGACTTTTATATAAATAGTTAAAGGGAAGTGGAAAACCCAGGGCTTTTGACTTTTTATCTGCCACCTAACCAAAATCACTATCTGTGAAAATATTTCAAAGAAGTATTTCAGTTTGGGAGCTGAACAAGCTCTAATGTTAACCACTCTTTCAATATTGATGTTATTATTTACAGTTGTGCTTCCCTATCTTTATAACACCATCTCTCTACTTCTTCCTTCTCTGAGAAATCTCAAGTATTTAGCCTCTTCAATCTGAATCCATAGTTCATATCATTCATCAGGCCTTTTAATTAAAGTGAGCACCATATCTCTTAACAAAACATACTATTTTACTTACCAGGCAATTGAGGCAAAATAATAACAATAAAAATTCCTTCAGGGGCTAAATCAAGTTCTTCAAACCACATGGATTTGATAATCCACATGGATTTGATATTCTAAAGCAGTGTGTTTCATAATTTCTATTTCAATTTTGTTCTTTCCACATATCTTTAAAGTCAGTTAAGTCCTCCTGGATTTCAGCAGCCTTGAGGCAACTATCCAGGTCCCTAAGCTAAAATTTGTTTACCTCAGAACAAAGGTCATGGACTCAGCTGAGGCAACTTTCTGGGGATTTTGATTCTCTGTACTGGTGCTATGGTCTGTTTCTTGGATAACTGAGAGGTGACTAAATGACCCATGTAAATAGAAGTATTTAAAGAGAGGCAGGTTGCCCACTTATTTTCAGACATCTGGAAAGTATTTGGATCAAATGGGTGGCCCCTAAATGATGGTTCAAGGACAAATGCTGGGTTGGCTGTATCTGAATCATATGGGGAGCTTTTAGAAAAACAAATTTCAAATTTGGGCCCTACATGCTGAATCAGAATCTCTGGAGGAGATACTGGGAAAGCTATGGAAAGCTGTGTTTTTTAAAAAAAATCTTCTCCAGATGACTCTGACAATCCACAAGGGCTGTGAAGCAAAGATCTAAATCAGAGCATCTCAAATGTTAATATGCATAAGAATAACCTATCGTTCTTGTTAAACTGCAGATGTGATTCATCAGGTCCCAGGTGGGACATGAGATTCTTCTGCATTTCTAACAAGCTCTCAAGTAATGCTGGTTCAGAGATGGCATTTTGAATAGCAAGGGGCTAGATTACCTCTCAGGTTCCTTCTAGCTATATGTTCCTGATTCTCAAGTTTAACTGTGGCATGTCACCCTCACTCACATCAGAACTTTCCATTTAAACTAATAGGTTTTTCTACACATAGCCTTTTTTTGTTTGCAAAATGTGCCAGATAATAATTGGCTTTTTTTTTTTTCACTTGCAGCTCTGCCTTTGCTTTCCACTTTTTAGCTTTGGACATAACTGAAAACATCCCCAAACACTGATCTAAGTTAATCATCTCTGAAGAGTTGCGGATCCACTGAGTATTAAAGCAAACCTTCCTTCTATGTGAGCCAAAAAAGAGAAAAACAGCCTGCCAAGCACCTGTAAAGAGATGGCTATCATCATATGGGAATTTGAAGAGCTGCTATATGGCACATTCGTGATCCAAATGGGAGAGGATCAACTGTTGTGATGTCCCAGAAGGCTTTATAACAGAGTAAACAAGAGGGGAAAATTTTAACAGCTTGTTGTCTGTGCTTGCACACTAGATTTCCTTGTAGTTACTGTAGAGAAATCCAAAACAAACATGCAGATAGTTCTTTGAAAAGCCCCCAAATCAGGTATAGAGGCTCAGACCAACGCAGTAAAAAGATTATTTTAGTCTCAGATTCTCCAACCTATCGATGGTCAGTCTTTTAGAAAGAGCAAGCAGTTGATAGTGAATTTAGGTTCTGAACCACCATTTGGCAAAGACAGTTTCCCCAGAAAGAAATATGCCTGCTAATGACACATGTGCTGGACCATATGCAGACAATACAGATTTTCGATACTTTATCTATGCAGTGACATACACTGTTATTCTTGTGCCGGGTCTCATAGGGAACATATTAGCCTTGTGGGTATTTTATGGCTATATGAAAGAAACCAAACGGGCTGTGATATTCATGATAAACTTAGCCATTGCTGACTTGCTACAAGTTCTCTCCCTGCCACTGAGGATCTTTTACTACTTGAATCATGACTGGCCATTTGGGCCTGGACTCTGCATGTTCTGTTTCTACCTGAAGTATGTCAACATGTATGCAAGTATCTACTTCTTGGTCTGCATCAGTGTACGACGATTTTGGTTTCTCATGTACCCTTTTCGCTTCAATGACTGCAAACAGAAATATGACTTATACGTCAGCATTGCTGGCTGGCTGATCATCTGTCTTGCCTGTCTGCTCTTTCCTCTCCTCAGAACCAGCGATGAGACCACAGGCAACAGAACCAAATGCTTCGTAGATCTTCCTACCAGGAATGTCAATCTGGCCCAGTCTATTGCCATGATGACCATTGGCGAGTTGATTGGGTTTGTCACTCCTCTTCTGATTGTCCTATATTGTACCTGGAAGACGGTTTTATCACTGCAAGATAAATATCCTGTGACTCAAGACCTTGGAGAGAAAAAGAAAGCCTTGAAGATGATTCTAACTTGTGCGGGAGTATTCCTAATCTGCTTTGCACCTTATCACTTCAGTTTTCCTTTAGATTTCCTGGTCAAGTCCAATGAAATTAAAAGCTGCCTAGCCAGAAGAGTGATTCTAATATTTCATTCTGTTGCCCTGTGTCTTGCTAGTCTGAATTCCTGCCTTGACCCAGTTATATACTACTTCACCACTAATGAGTTCAGAAGACGGCTTTCAAGACAAGATTTGCATGACAGCATCCAACTCCATACAAAATCCTTTGTGGGCAACCATACCACTTCTACCCTGACAACTGAATTATGCTAAATAAAAATTAAAAAGTGAATGTGGTCTGAAATGCAAGTATATCAGAAAACATTTGCAATACCCCAAGCCACTGGGAAGTAATCACAGGAAGCACTCATAGCTTTTCAGTTATGTTCTATCTTACCTGTATGAGGAATTCACATCGTCATAACAGAACCAATTTAGAGCATTATACTCCACCATCATTGATGTTGACATGTTCATGTAGTAATTTGTCATCAAGTCTTTAAGATGTAAACTATAAAATTTCAGTGGCATCCTATACACATGTGCTCTCAACTAAAGTCAGCAGTTTTATCTGTGAACCTCAGACACAGAGAGACTGTTAGCTTGGGATCATAATAAGTGCTTAGGTTTGTTACAACAGACAATGAGTCTCTTTGCATTTTAGAGGCAATACAGTTGTCTATTTATACTAGTAATCACGGTTTATTTTCCAATATGACATTTTTGGTTTGATTTTAAGTAGGATGGACAATATATTATTCTGTGAAAACAAAAGCGTTATAAACATGGGACCATTTTTATCTCCCATGTGTGATTATACTCTAGGGGTTTGAAGACTGGAATAGCTATTTCCTTCATTTCAATGTCAGTATGAAACATTATCTGTCACACCTATGCTAGAATAAAAATCTGAACTCAGGCCTCTGCCATGTTTAAAGTAAGAACAAGAAAGAGATTCACATACAATAACTCTCTGTGACTGTATAATACGCCGTATTAAATCTACCCAGGGCAGTTAGCTTGTCAAAGTCCATACAAGGTGACCCAGATTGCCTCTATAGGTCCAGGAGACAGCAGATAGATGAAATCACAGCTCTGGTTCTTTTAAACTATTTCCTAAGAACACCTCTGGAGATGTATGGACCTGCCTAGAAGAGAAAGTTTCCACTAAGCTTCTAGAGTGACGTTGAGGTACCTCTGACAGGTTACTGTGCTTTCTGAGCCTATGAAAGAAGTAGTGCACTAATTAATTACTAAGCTTAGGCCAAAGTGGAAAGATGAAGTAGAGTCAAGTACACCTCTTAAAAGCCTCATCACATTGTATTTCTTACTTTAAGTTAGGTGGCAACTGTCAAGCCACCTTCACATGCCAGAATAGGGTTTGGAGGCAGCTACGCATGTGGACCCTAGAGTCTTCAGTAATTTTTCTGGCCCACCTTTGCCCCAGTCATACCATTCTGCGGCCTGCACAGCCTACCTCCCAGCAGTTGGAGAAGACAATTCTTTCACTGTTTGAGAAAAGTGCAGAAGATTAATTTTGGCAGCATTGGAGACCGCTAACAATGCCTTGTCTGCTACATTCTTGGTACTAGTATGCAGGAAACAGACCCAGGATATGAATAGTAACTAAACCTGAGATCTTAAATATTAGAATACTTTGAAGCATGTTTCAGCAAAAAGCTCTAAGATAAAAAATGCTCTATTTAAAATCTATGTGCTATATAATGAAGACACATGCTACTTCTCATCTGGAAGGAATGTGAAAATCAACCAAGAGCTCCATCGTATTTAGAGGAAGGGAGTTTCTTTAGGCACACAGTTATGATACTAATATGTTTGGAGGAAAAAATGGTGAAATCAAAATGAATTCTAATATCTAAGATGAATGGAAAATTTTCTAATGTTTTCTCTGGACAAGTGTTGATTTTGCTTGTACTTTGTTATTAAAATAATACCCTACTAGAAGACTGATTTTGTGCTGCTAGCAATAGTGTATTTATCTCCTAATTATTCATTGTAAGATACATATTTTATGTGTTAAATAAGTGTTAAATTGTGTTTTTAAAAGGGCAACTTGTAACTGTGTCTGGTCTGTTTGCTTTGAAGTTATTTGTGTCTGAATATAATTTAGTGTTGTAATGGGATCACAAGTAATAATTTTGTGGGTACTTGCATGAGTCTTGTCTATACTATATGTGTTTCCTAGTTTCCAGATTAGCATGAATTACACTTCTTAGGGGTTGTTTTGAGAGACCAGTGATTTATTTTTATTAACATATTAATTTCACTTTAAACATACCTGTTTTTAAAAGGGGAGATTACTGAACTTCTTAGATGAATGGTTGAGGTTAGAACCCGTTTACTAGGCAGTCCAGAAGCCCTTGCAGATCATTTACATCATTCAAGGAGAGGACAAGTGTCCACTATTCTTATGCTGCTTAGCTAGGACCACCCCTTCTCCTCAGGCCAGCCCATCTAGGTTTGTATTCAGTTCTGTGATTTACTTTATCTACCCCTCCTCTCCATCCATATATTTTTGTTTTCTGTCCTATTCCCTTGTTCGTCTAGTCAGTAATCTGTCCAACTTATTCACACTAAGGTGCTAATGACTAACGTTAGCTTAAAATTAATTTACCAAGGATATCTGAAATCTAGGCTTTAAGGGTAAACCTTAACTCAAAATGTTAATCCCTCACTTTTAATAGTGGCATTAAAGACACTGAAGCAGACTGGAGGGGAAGATATTTTGAAGAAAGTAGGTCTTACAGCAGTGTCTTTCAGATTGCATATAGTAAGTGATCGCCTACTTTGCTTACCGTAATGGGGATGCTAAATTCTAAGAAATATATCCACAAGCTCAGCTGTCAGTTTCTTAGATCTCTGCTTGTTTTCTTTTACTTTTTGATTTTCCTCTTCCAACTCTGGACCTAATTTCTAGAGAAAGGTCTAAACTAGGAGAGAGGTACTGCTGCAGCTGCCATCCACACAGCAGCCTCCTCTCGGAGCTTCTCCTTTCTTTGGAGAATCTTCTCTCCAAACCTTCCATTTATCACTCTCTGGATTCAATGAAATCAGGGTGCAAAAAGTAAACACTCTCAACTACAGCAACATGCAATTCAAGATAAATAAACTTACATTTCCTATATAAGGTTATTTGAGTTCTGATTCCAACATACACACGTAATTATTCCAACAAGAGAGATTTTGAATATGGAGTGATTTCCATATTATTGTCATATTGTTATTGTTATTATTGTTATATTCAAATATTTTATATGTTTTATTGTCATTCAGTTAAGCAGCTAATTCTATTAACCTGTAATTCCAGAAAAAGGAGCCATCTGCCCTAGGAACAACAGGTCAAGCTACCTTGGTCTAAAAGGGTGCATAAGTGGAACTCTTGTGCAACTTAATTTTTATGTAATCTCTTTGTTTTTACTTCCAAAATACTGTGAAAATGTTGCACTTGGAACTTATTTACATCTATAATTTATAATATGCATTTTCATAATAAAGATGGTCTCGGTAAAATTACACAGGAATTTTCTGCCTCCAGAAGTCAATGTATATTTAGTAGTCATTTTTTCAGCAATCTGATATTCTTGACGATCTTTGTCAGTGTTCTCACACACATGGATGAAAGTCCCATGATGCTCTACTCTCCCTGGAGGCGTGCACTCTATTCTCAGATGGAGAGATGAAGCATTTCTCCCATCCTACCCCATCCCTGCCATCTACTCCGCCCATAGATAGACTCATTACTGTCCTCATCCTACTAAGATGAGTCCCCAACCTCACTTGTTGACCGGGTTTATCTGAATGATTTAAAGCCTTATATTTACTAGAGTATGGTCTGTGGGCAGAAAAGGAGATGAGGTGAAAGACGGAATGTTTCTTCTTTAGTCTTAAAGGTTGTTAAGATCTGACAGTCTGATTTTTACTGTTGATTGGCAAGGAAAAAATCCACCGTCCACCACCTCCCTCTGCTCTTCCCAAAACGGATCTACTTCAACAAAAACATGTGAGTCAGGACCATTGTCTCTGGCTCTCCTGTCATCCTAGTTCTCTTTCTTCCACTTTAGCAACTCCCTCCTCATCTCACCTATATCCCTAGTAATTTCAGGAAGCCCAGGTATCTTCTGTAATAACCAAGTTGTTAGGAATTACACATTTTGGCTGTTGCAGAAAGATTTTCCTAGGAAGTGGTAAAGGCTTTCCTAAGGAGAAATTTCTGATGTTTCAGTAGACCTGAAGTAAATAATGGGATGTAAATATGGATCTGCCCCATGCATCAAATGTCCTCAAATAATATATCTGCCTCCCTTGTGCCTTCCTGAAACCAACTCAGAAGTAACTTGACTGCCTTCACTACCATATTTTGAGAGAAAGGAGTGAGAGATAAACTCTCAAGTAAATGTGGCTCTTTTAATTTACTTATTCCTCAGTTATTAAAGGATGTGATGTGTGAGTGGAGTACAGGCAGTGAGTTGTAACTTTCTGGAACTTCCCAGACCATTTCCTCAGCAGAACTTCCTCAGTGTTAACCATGTATTTGATTTTGCTAAGACCATATTTCTTTTTCTGTTGTTTGTTGACTAAGTTCTCTACATCTAACTCCTTATTGCACATCTGAAGATTAATCTATAGGCAAAACCCTTATTTAAGTCCTTACATTTGCCTTCTTGGATCTCTTCAAAGAATAATAGAGCAACTGCTCCTTGGTGAGCTGTGAGAGGAAGGCTGTCATTAGGCCTATTGGCCTGACCCCAGTGTCTTCTTTTTTTGCAGAAGCTTCAGAAGCAGTGCTGAGAGGCTGACCTAAGATCTTTGCTTTTCAAGTTTGATTCTGGCCCATAAGTGAGAGAATTTTTTCAGCCTTTTCTAAGCAATGTTGAATATCTACAATTTGTACAAAGACCAGTATTATTTACACCTTTTAAAATGCCAATCTAATAATGAGAAAAAAACAAATAAAAACAGCTTGAAAGCATAATAGCCCAAGTTTGGGTCTCAAGAAATGAAAGCATGAAGGAAGTAGTCTTACCATAAACTCTGCACATCATGCTTGCATAAAGTAAAACATGTAATACTGGGTTAAAAATGATATGAAGTCACATTACTGCCTTATGTCATTAAATATGTTTAACTTTTTCACTCAGATGCGCAAGAACCTTTACTATGTAAAAGTTCAAATATACTCAAAAGAAGAGCAATTAGTATAATGAACCCCCATGTACCAATTATTCAGCTTCAACCAAATTCAATACATGGTTTATCTTCTTTCCTGTATGCCTGCACTCACTCTCCTTACCCCAGATTATATTAAAGTACATTCCATGCATTATATAATTCCATCTTTATTTTAATAAGTTATAAAGCCATTTAAATGAACTATTCAATATATGATCAAAAGAAAGTAAGGAATAGGAACTGATTTTAGATATGTCACAGTAATGACATCAAACACTAAATTCCAATATGTATAAGAATTTTATTTTGATGAATCTGAACAAGTTCCAACTTAGATAAAAACATCTATTTACCTGACTCTGTTTTCCTTGGATGAGCCTTCCTTCTACTGCAGAAGTGTGATGGAGACTGATGTTGAATTCAGTTCAAGGATTCCTTGGTCCAAATTTATTATGGCTCCCATGGGAAGGAGTCCAGTACATTCAGCTCCACTCGATGTAAAAATACCACTACTGACAGCTTGCATTTTTACATTTTTGTCAAAATGGTCCACTAAACAATACTCCTAGAGCAGTGTTAGAATGCATCGACGTAAATGTACACTCTGAAAGTTTTCTGAGACCTATGTCATAGTTATGTGAACCCTATGAATACTGCTCATAGTTAGGTGGCTAGATTTCTCTAAAATTTCCCTTGAACATTTCACATTTTCTTCCTTTGAATCTATCACGACAAGTTGTATTAGTTACACTATGGGTTCAGCTGTGACTAATAGAACTGTGGCTTAAACTAGATAGAAATGTATTTCTCTTTCACGTAAACATCTTAGCCAGTTGGTGGCTATTTTTGCAAGATATTTGGATATGTAGGCTCTTGTTTTGTAACTCCAACATTTCTTGGGTGTTTCTCTAATCTGAATGGTGCAAGGTTTCTTATAACATTCACATTATAGGTAGTAGGACTGGGGAAATGAGAAGGAGACACATGCCTTTTCCTTTTAAAGGGATGACTGGAAATTGTGAAAATCCTTTCTGCTTGCAACTCATTGGCTAGAAATCAGCTACATAGACCTGCCAAGCTGCAAGGGAGACCAGAAAATGTTTTCATTATTCAAGGTTTACGCATGCTAAGCTAGAAATTCTTTTATTATGGAAAAACTGGAAAGCAAATATGGGGTAACATGTATTCTCTATCATTCTGTGCATATCAGAAGTACTAAGGATGTCATGTTGCCCTAAGGATTCCATATATACCAGAAACTCAAGCAGTCTCTTGCAGGCTCATTCCATTTCATAAAACTATCACCTCCCTTTAATGGAGCAGCAACTTCTCTTCCCTCTTGGGGTTATCTAAACCATCAATGACACCTATGCCTATAGCAAAAAGAGCAGCAGACTTTAGAAAAAAGTTATAGTGGTGGTGCCCTGGGAGTGTATGGACAAAGCTTAACACCTGCTTAACATGGGGAATCAAAGAGGAGGATATGGGAAGTGATTGCACTGGTCAGTGTCCCACCTTTACTTTCTTTACCTTGTTCCCAGAGAGGAAAAAACACTTCCCTTTTCTGACCTCCCATCAATGAATCAACTCACGTGCTGCACATAGGCTTACCCTCAAAATTGATTTGACCAAAGAATTAAAATCACTCCAAAAAATTCTTTGCAACATCTGTTCCCTCTGCCTAGAATGTTCTTTCAACTGCTATCTTGCCCCTTCCTTCAGTTAAAATCCTTCAGTTCTCAAAGTTGACCACCCTAAGAGCTTCCCACCCCTCCAGACACAAGTTCATTTCTAATGTTACTTTGATTTTTCTCCACATGGCTTCTTATAATTTGTAATTATTGTTTTTATTTGTTTACTGTATGTTTTCCCTACTTGAATATAAGATTTGTTCACTTTTATGTCTGTAATGCCTACCTCACTACCTGCAACATAGTAGGAGCTCAAAAAATATGTTGGGAGAGTGATGTCAGCAACATGGCAGCATGATGTTCCTCCTTTTTAGTCAACAAATTAGGCAACCATACACCAACAGGAGCTCCTTTGTTGGAGTTCCTGAACGTTTTACTTTGCTGCAAAGTACCTAAGATGAATCTTGTTCACTAGTTCAGATGATGGGAGATAAACAAACTTCCATATGGGTTGCAGAACCAGCAGGGCCAGCACAACTGCCTGGACTCCTCTTGCTGCTGTCAGGCAAGACTTGGGTGAGTGCTGAATTGGGCAGACACTCACCAACAAGAGAGAACATGCAGAAGTTCAGCTTTTTGAAGGGAGAATCCAACATGACTTTGGAGAAAAAAAATATGAGTTTGGTTACATCAGAGGTGGTAACAGAAACTTTCCTGGTGCTGCTCCATCCCCAAGAAGGCACAGATCAGGGCTGATTTATCTGGCATAAGAGGTGACTGCTCCCATGGGGAAAGAGGAGGGCAGTGATATAGGGCCCACTACCCCAGCTGAGGGGGATGCTGCTGAGGAAACCAATTTCTCTCCACCAACACTTGGAGTACTAAGTTGGGAGCCCTGCAACTGGAGGGAGGGAGCATACTGAGAAAGAGGCAGATTAGAATTTAAAAGGGCTTTGAAGAAATTGCACTCAGCAGAAAGTCCATCCATTCGCCTTTGGAGGAGCCACGCATAGGGATTTACCTGCTGGTTCTACAGGTGCCCCAAATACACCAAGTGCTATACCCAGACCTCCCCACACTCTGCTACTAGATCCTTGTGTGTGCTCCCAAGTGTTTCAGGGAGAGTGAGCTCCAGTGCACAGAGAGCACGCTCAGAAAATACGCAATGTTGGGGGCAAGGGAGAAACTGTAAACTTTAACTATAACACAACCTTCTGGAATACAAAAGAGAGGTTTCTAATAGCTAGGCTGGTGAATGGTAAGAACCATAGAAAATAAAAGCTTAGTTAAGGAGCTATCCGCTGCTTCAAATGCCAAAGCAGAAACACATAGGTACAAACAATAAAAAAAATCAAGAGGGGCTGGCCCCATGGCCAAGTGGTTAAGTTCGTGCGCTCCGCTGCAGGCGTCCCAGTGTTTCGTTGGTTCGAATCCTGGGTGCGGACATGGCACTGCTCATCAAACCACACTGAGGCAGCGTCCCACATGCCACAACTAGAAGAACCCACAACGAGAAATATACAACTATGTACTGGGGGGCTTTGGGGAGAAAAAGGAAAAAATAAAATCTTTAAAAAAAGAAATCAAGAAAATATGACATCACAAAACAAAATAATAATTCCACAGCAACCAAACTCAAAAGGCACAGAATATTGTGATCTAACTAATAAATAATTTAAAATGACTGTTATGAAGAAAATTCAACAAGCTACAAGAAAACT